GTATACACTGTAGTTTCATTTCGATGTAACTATAGTTTCATATCATATAACTACATTTTCATTCGAAATTATAACACCAAATATGTGAAAATGTTATTTAATTTTATTTTATATACACCATAGTTTCATTAAAACATAACTACATGATCATTTCGATATAACTACAGCTTCATTACTCAATATACACTAAAAAATGTGAAATGTTATTCAATTTTATTTTATATATACTGTAGTTTCATTTCAATTCAATTGCAGTTTTAGTTGATAATATAAAAATAATACGTGAGGTAATGTCAGTTTAGATACCAGTTTCACTTCAATTGAATTGCAGTTTCAGTTGATAATATATAAAATAATACGTGAGGCAGTATCGGTTTAGATACATAGTATCAGTTAATAATTAATACACCAAATATGTGCACTCCGTTAACTATAACAGCGCGTCATTTCTTTACTTAAAGAAACGGCGCCGTTTTGACCGCGGTGTACGTGCACCGCGGTCCACCATATAACGACTGATCTGATAAAGGTTTGGCGCCCTGCCAGAACTCCACATTCGGCATCTTCAAGCAATGCCTTGACCTCATCCGGCGGAACTTCGAGGAGCTATAATCCTCTTGGTAGACTTTTGGAATATGGCTCCTAATGCGTCCGCAACACGATTTTGTTCACGCAAGATCAGAGAAACATTCCATTCCTCCACCCTGCTTAACACCCTTTTGCATTCAACGAGGATATTTTGAGCTATGATATTCTGCTCCGTTGATTTGTTTCTTTTGGCCATTGAAAATGTGAAAGATATGTCTTTGGAGTTAATTTCACTTTTGGTCCTATAATTATTGAGGTCTTGTTAATTTCAATCCATGACTTTTAAAACTGTCAATTTAGTATCTTAACTATTCAATTTTTATCAATTTTGGTCACTCTGATCAAATTGCCCTGCAAAACTCACTGAAAAATATTAATAGGTAAAATAAATCGGGTATTTTAGCCTTTTTACTTATCTTTTCTGTCTTCTTTAAAATACTCTCATTATTTACGTTCTTTATCGGGTTTAGTAATTCGGGCTACCCAAGGACGGAGCAAAAGGGGGGTAGGGGCAGCTCCCCCCCTCACCCCACCCCTACCCCATATATAATCTTTGTATGTATATATGTATATATAGTACAAGTTTTAGTATTACTATAGAAAAAACTATTAAATAAAAGAGTTAATATCGTTTGAGGTCCTCCGAGTATAGGGGTTTTGCCACGTTTAGTCATAAACTTTCAAATTGACCATCTGTGGTCCTTCGACTTTCAAATTTAACCATTTGTGGTCCAAGTTAACCACTCATGGTCCTTCGAGTTTCAAAACTTAACCAGTTGTGATCCTCTTGAAAGGACCATGGTTGGTTAAATTTTAATAATTGAAGGACCATGAGTGGTTAACTTGGACCACAAATGATTAAATTTGAAAGTCGTAGGACCATATATGGTCAATTTGAAAGTTTAGGACTAAATATGGCAAAACCACTATACTCGGAGGACCTCGGATGGTATTACCTCTAATAATAAATGAGTTAGATTAGCTGGTAGAACACATGTTTGGAAATAGTAAACGTCAAGGGTTTGAATCCTTTTGCATCAACATAGTTTTACTGTTTACACACACACATCTATACTATATATAAAAACAAAATCTTGAACTTTAACTTCCCGCCCAATTGCTTAAAAATCTCTCTTTCTAATAAAAATATATTATTTTCTACTTTCATATTCGTACTATAATTCTAAGTTAAAATGCTTATTCTAATATTATAAAATAGTGTAATACAATTCCTATTCTAACCTATACTATATATAAAAACAAAATCCTGAACTTTAACTTCCCGCCCAATTCCTAAAAAAATCCTCTTTCTAATAGCGGAGTGCTTTAGAGAGAGGGAGAGTGGAGAGGAAAGAACCCCCTAAGAAGGAGGGTCAATGACCCTTATATAGGCCCAAGGATTGACCCGCTATCTTTGACTTTGACCCGTAGACCGGGACTAGAACCGTTTGACCCCGACCCGACTATAAAATGAGAGCACGGAGTGTACGGAGAGCTTGAACCCGGGGTATATTCCCCATCAAGAAGCCCCCTCAGTCTGTGCCCTGACGATGAGTGAATGCGGAAGGGTTCGGGCTGGAAAAACTGACTAAAAACGGTCCGCGACCTATGCTGGTTGCCTCGTTAAAAACCTTAAACTAATAAAAAACTAGTGGGAAAAAGTTTTAGCCAAGGGAAAAAGAGCACAATGCTAAACGCAGTCTGGTGGACTAAAGAAAGGGATTGCCCGACCTAGGGGTCGGTTTTACAACATGATTCGAGAGGTCGAATCTTTCCCGATCTAGCGATCGGGAAACTAGCCATGATCGAATTGCTAGGTATGACCGATTGGACGGATTAATTGCGATCGGGAGATCTAACTTTACCAATCATGGTATTGGATTTAGGTATGACCGGAAAGTCGGATTACGTGCGATCGAGGCGATCTCTCCCTTTTTGCACTCGGTTTACGAACCGAGAGTCCCAAGCGGGGGACACTAGGAGACCCGATGGTCTAACGATAGCAAGACCGGGTAGGTCGCTTTGATCGGGAAGCGCAAGGCGCTAGGAGAACCGAAGGTGTAACGATAACTAGTGTGAATACATATTTATAAACTTTCAATGATTTTGATTCTTATCATTTATAATTTTCTTGCAAAACATGTTATAATATATCATTAAAATTTTCTTATTTTATAGTCTCACCCACACCAACATTTTCAACGTTATTATTTTTATCCGTCGTTACAAAAATTTTTAAATAAAACATATAAAAATGTAATTAATAGTTGCTTAAAATAAAAAAATTAAAAATATAATATTCATAATATATTAAAAGTTATATTTGATATATTGTTAGGCATCAAGCAAAATAGTTATTATTTGCAATAGCAATTTGGGATTGTGAACAACAGTTCGCTATTCGCAGTAGCTTGTTGTTAAAAAAAAAGGAAAAAAATTATATTACGAATATAAACATAAAAGAATAAAACTCACAATATACACGTATTTATATGAATATTATGAAACATATACTAAAATTTGATGGTGATAGATGAAAAATTTACTTTGTTAATGTATTTGAGGAGAAAAAGTTCATAGATAAAGTTTAGAAGTTAGAGAGATAAGTTTGGAAGATAAGGATAAAAAGTTTGTAGAAAAAATAAAATTCAAAATAAACGAGTAATAATGAAGAAAAAATAGTCTGTAGAATTTATAGAAAAAGATGGTAAAGTTTAGGAGGGAAACAAAAGTGGTAGAGTTTAGCTATGAAGAAAATATAAGATAATGAAGAAAAAATAATTTATCGAATTTAGGTATAAGATTTATAGAGTTTAAATAGGGAGAAAAAAAAATAGAGTTTAGATAGAGAGATAAAATATTCAGAATTGGTAGAAAGAAAAATTTGAAATCTTGGGGTTACGTGTCGGATTTCAACTATTTATATTTGAAAAGGAAAAATATACAAAAGTCCTAAAATAAAATAAACATAAAAATAAAAAAGTTTACAAAAGTTCATAACTTTTTTAATACCCCATGACTTTTAAACCACATTATACTTTTTTATCTTTATACTTTTTATTCCATTTAAATTCTCATATACACCAAACAGTATAATTGAAATTTACAGTAATTTTATTCATACATACTAAACAATGAAACTTGAATTCATACTTTATTATTATCGTATTCCTTTCTCATAAAATTACAAATTTTTTTCTTCCATAATTCTTCATTTCAACCAAACGGCCTAATCCAGTGTATTAGTTATTTAATGGAAAATTATTATGTGGACTTGAGTCCACCTTGCAAGGTGGAACCGCGGTCAAAAATCCACAATTTATATACTAAATGTTCACAATTTTTATTTTTATATATTAAATGTTCACAATTTACCTACGGAATGTTCACAAATTTATATATTAAATGTTCACATTTTGAATTGTGAACATTAAATATGTAAGTTGTAAACATTCAGTATAGGCAAATTATACCGTGCACCAGGGCGCACAATGCATTGTGCGTCCTGACCAAAAGGCGTCGTTTTGACCATGTTTTTTTTTTTAGAAATCATGTTTCCCATTTCTATTGTTAAGTTCAAAAAAAAAATTATCCGTTTCGAATGTACATAAACTCATAACAGAAAACACATAAACTCATAACAGAATACGCATAATCTAACATAATACATAATACACATAAACTCAAAACAGAATACACATAATCCAACATAATACATAATATATAATACACATAAACTCATAACATAATCTAACCTAACTCTATAATACAGCAATAACTTGCTGAAGTTTTCATTTTCCCGCCCACCTAATACTACACCGTTTTGGCTTAAGTTACTGCTATTACATTTTTCCAGCTCATGCATTGTGATGTGTATTTCCCATGCGTTGATGATAATTCGGCTAATTAATGCTAGATTCTTTACCTTCATTATACCCCTCATGGGAATACCAATGCATATAATGTCAGAGAATTATATCGTTTCTGACCTTTCAAGACCACAATATAATTCAAATTCGTCCTATAATTTTTCTCCTGCTTTTATATATATATATATATATATATATATATATATATATATATATATATATATATATATTCTATCTGTATAACCTACCTGTACCAGATAATGATACAAACATACGCAGAGAAATTATTACAAGCCCCTTGGAATAATACAAACCTAATAGAAAATATTAGGTTAATTTAAAAATTCAAATGAATTAAATGAACATTAACATTTAATGAATAGTTAGTGTTCCAATGTTGTGGCTGCTCACAAAAACTCTTAGATTCTTGTGATTTGAATATCTCATCTGTGCCTATAAAAAGCACAAATCAGAGATGTATTTCGTCCTAGATTGAAACTGTTCTTGCCATCACCATTAACCATCTTCAAAAGAGTTCTAAAGATGCCTTCCCTTTTTATTGCTGTAAAAGATATCCAACCTATACACAAACTGAGAGGTATTAGAGTACGTTGTGTAAGGGTGTATGTAGTGCCTGAAAGTAGGGGAGGAGGGAATACCATCAAGAGTATGGAGTGTTTGCTCCATGATGATCAGGTAATACATTTTTTTTTTACTGCATTTGTAACAGAGACATGTTTACATCCTTAGTTCTTCATTCTGCAGATAGAGTCAAAAAATACCAGTAACAGTAGAAAAAATGATAAAGTCATGGGACTGATTATTGCTTTATTTCTTTCTTATTTGCAGGGAGATTATATACATGGCAATATTCAGAACACAGATGTTAGAAAATACAAAGAAGTTATAAAAGAAGGACAACTCTATGAGATAAAAAAAAAAATTTATGTTGTTACAAATTATTACATGTACAAGATCACACAACACAAATATATGCTTAAGTTCAATTACAAAACAGAAGTCAAACTAATAAATTCTAAAGGGTTTCCCCTGCATATGTTTCGGTTGACCAGTTTTGTTTCTTTGAAAGATCCAAATGAAGTAAATGAAAAAGACCTCATTGGTACTACTGTTCTACTCTTCCTATTACAATGAAAAAAAAAAACTGCTTAATCTTATATATAACTTCTTATGTTATTTAAATATTTTGCAAATGTTATGGATCGTGTAGTGGAGATCTATAATCCTGTTGACAAGATTGTGGGCGGTAGAGCAGCAAAATTGATTGACTTTCAAATATGTGATAATGCGTATGGTTATACTATATTAGAAGTCTGTCTAGATGAAGTAAATTTAGCTTAAATCCTACATGTATTTTATCTATTAACTTAACTGAGTAATTACTGTTTATGCCTACAAAAAACAGTGACAATTACTTGATGTGTACCTTGTGGGATTCTCATGTGGACTCTCTACTGCCATATTACAATTCTGATTCGAAGGAACCAGTGATTGTAGCTATTCAGTGCTGTAGGGCCAAGGTGGTCAATGGTGAGTTTTATAAGCTTAGTCATATTTCCTATTTTGTGTCACTATGTGAACCTTAGTAAGACTATTTACCCCATATACATACTTAAGTAAGATTGTAACTACATACTTTTTTGTAGGTGAGGTTAGAATAACATCATCATATGATGCAACTAAGCTATGGTTTAATGAGGAGTTTGATGAGTTCAAGGACTTCAGATCCAAGTAAGACTATTTACCCCACATACATATTTAAATTTTGCAGGGTAAGTAAACTACTTCAATATTCTGTAAAATCTTCCTTTTGTGAATGTTAAAAGTTGAAGAAACCCCTCTAAAAAGTTTCGGCACTGGCACTCAACACTCACAGTCAACAGGGATTGAACGTTTCCAAAAGGGTGAAACAATTGTCTCAATAATTTTTTATCTCTATAAAATCCAAGGGGTGAGTTATCTCTACACATTTTTTGTAATTTGAATTGTTGATCTTATATTTAACATATTTTCTCTAACTAAATTACAGGATGGTCAGTATTTTGTTCCTGCTGAAATAATTGCTATAGAGGCTTCAAGAGGTGAGTGGTACTACATGGCCTGCATGAGACCTGGCTGTAACAAGAAACTCAAAGAATCTGAAGGGTCCCTAGTATGTGACAAGTGTGAAAAACACTACCAAGAAGGTACAGCAAGGTATAAAATTTTGGTTAGAGTTTTAGACAAAACTAAGGATGCACCATTCCTGGTTTGGGATCGTGAAGTGGCTGATTTGGTTGGCATTCCAACTGCTCTTTTGTATCAAAAGTACAAACAGGTATTTTCTAATATTAACCTTTTTTAAAAATATTTCTGTTTTAAAGTTTAGATTTAAACTAACCCTAATACTTAGCAGATAATGGGTAGAAAAAATGGCGGTCAAATTTTTTAATCAAATGAATGGCTCAGATTGATCAGATTTAATTTTTCCTTAAGATTTCATAATTTATCCTTAATGAATATGATTTTCCGTTAACTTTTCTGTTAAATATTACATTTTTCCGTTAATTTCTGTTAGTTCACCATTAACTTACTCATTGATTTCAATAACAAAGGTCTTAGGTTCGAACCCCATCCCAATCAAAGTTGGCATAATTAGTACTCTATTTTACTTTTATTAAATTAAATAATGATTTAGTAGCTACAACAAAAAAATAATACATATGTATTTCTTTAATTTAGAATTATGTGTCTACAATGTCTTTATTCAAAAAAAAATTATTCATTATCAATAAATTAAATAAAAGAAATAATTTCATTAGTTATATTGTCTTTATTTTTCTCCAATATAACAATTCTTTATATTCAAATTCATCAATTGATTATATTCGCTACATTGTCCCTACAATGTCTTTATTAAAAAAAAAATTATTTATTATCAATAAATTAATTAAGAAAAATAATTTTTATTAGTTATATTGTCTTTATTTTTCTCTAACGTAAAAATTATTTACATTCAAATTCATCAATTGATTATATTCACTACATTGTCTATTATCTTTTTTTTGTGCACTATTTTTAAATTAAATATCAAAGTTATAATACAAAATAAGCTATATATTTATTTACCAAGTATTTTATTAATACCATGAAAAAATTAAAAAAATATATAATTAATAAAGTCAATAATATTAATTACTTGAGAGATTTGTTGGCAAAGAAAGTATCCAAATCACACAACAAATTGAAGTGAGAACTACCTTACAATGTCCTTGTTTGACAATGAGCAGTTAGCGGTAACCGATTATATTAGCGGATTTGACCAGCGAATTATATCAACAGTTGGTAAAAATAAATTTAAAACAATTTAGTTGTTTAGATTAACATGTAAAATGACCAAATGATACATATATTTAATAATAATAATAATAATAACAATAATAACAATAACAATAATAATTGTTTAAAAAAATATAATTAAGCCAATCATATTAATTAACTACTTGGGGGATTTATTGACAAAAAGAGTATTCGAATCACACAACAAATTGAAGTGCAAAAACTACCTCTCAATGTCCTTGTTTGACATTTATTTTTTATTTTTTTTAACTGTTTTCTCTTTTATTTGCCCTCCCTTATGTCCCGTATTTTGTTTCAACCATACCTATACAATTATTTTATTGACAATTATAATCAATCTTGACTATATTATCTTGCATTTATAAATTTAGAATTACCTATTTAAATAGGCAAATTCAACATTTAATTATATATGCGCGTAAAAAACTAGTATAGATAAAATGTAAAAATTCAACGATCTATTTAACATTTTTTCTTTAAAACAATTTTCTTTAAAGCAATTATTTGATCAGACAATTTGTGCACCAAAGTCACCAGCATCTTAACCTCATGATCGAAAGCCTTTTTGGTCTCCTCCGCTTTGTGGGTCAGCTCGTCTACAGTGACATGCATCTCGTCAATCAAACTTTTCCTTTTCATGACAGAAACATACAACTTGTCGTATTCCGCCTCCAATTTAGCACGCCTCTGACTCTCACTCAGCTCATCGTTGCTCACCATAACTTTAATCTGGAAAAAAGCGCAGAATTTTAAATCCAATTAACTGATTGAATCCAAATTCCAAGCAATCTAAATCTGAAATGCATGGATTAAAAATTCAAAATTGCATAAGAGAAATTGAAAAGAATACAACACAACACAATCTAAATCTGAAATGCATGAATTAAGAATTCAAAATTGCTATAGAGAAACCGAAAATGATACAACAAAATCTAAATCCGGAGTGTAAGGATTAAGAATTCAAAATTGCAACAGAGAAAACGAAAAGAATACAATAGAATCTAAATCTAAAATACAATGCAGGGATTAAGAATTTGAAATTGATGTATGAAAATCGAAAAGAATAGATCATCATTTACATTTAAATTACAATGCAGGGTGTGAATTCGAAATTGTAGTAGAGAAACATAAAAAAAAAAATATACAACACAATCTAGATCTGAAATACAATGCAAGAATTAAGGATTCGAAATTGAGGGCAGTAAAGAAAACAACACAATCTAGATTTGAAATATAAGGATTAAGAATTAAAAATTGTAGTAGAGAAAGAAGGCTACTTTTGGAATAGAAACACAATAAGATATTAAGATGTATACCCTGGTAGAGATTAGCAATGATATATTACTCCAATTTATATATATAACAAATTATATAAAACTCAATCTATATTAGAGAATCGAAATGAAGAAATCACCATTGCCACTAAAAAACGTGTGGACCTGAGAAAAAGTCATGACATTTATTTTTTATTTTTTTTAACTGTTTTCTCTTTTATGGTAAAAATTAAACTATAATAATATTTACTTAATTTGATTTTTTTTTAAATATTTAATTTAATGGAGGGGTGAACCATACAAGACCGAAATACAATTTCAATCAGCTAGGGCAAATTATATCGTGCACCGCGGTGCATAATTGATTATGCACCGCGCGTCAAAACGACGTCGTTTTATTTAATGAAAACAAACGCCATCTGTTTCGTGCCGTTCCGCGCCATTTCGTAAAAAGTAACTCTGTTATTCAGTTTCATTTTGTATACACTGTAGTTTCATTTCGATGTAACTGCAGTTTCATATCATATGACTACATTTTCATTCGATATTATAACACCAAATATGTGAAAATGTTAATTAATTTTATTTTATATACACCATAGTTTCATTAAAACAGAACTACATGATCATTTTGATATAACTACAGCTTCATTACTCAATATAAACTCAAAAATGTGAAATGTTATTCAATTTTATTTTATATATACTGCAGTTTCATTTCAATTCAATTGCAGTTTTAGTTGATAATATAAAAATAATACGTGAGGTAATGTCAGTTTAGATATCAGTTTCACTTCAATTGAATTGCAGTTTCAGTTGATAATATATAAAACAATACGTGAGACAGTATCGGTTTAGATACATAGTATCAGTTAATAATTAATACACCAAATATGTGCACTCTGTTAACTATAACAGCGCGTCGTTTCTTTACTTAAAGAAACGGCGCCCTTTTGACCGCGGTGTACGTGCACCGCGGTCCACGATATAACAACTGATCAGATAAAGTTTGGCGCCCTGCCAGAACTCCACATTCGGCATCTTCAAGCAATGCCTTGACCTCATCCGGCAGAACTTCGAGGAGCTATAATCCTCTTGGTAGACTTTTGGATATGGCTGCTAATGCGTCCGCAACACGATTCTTTTCACGCAAGATCAGAGAAACATTCCATTCCTCCACCCTGCTTAACACCCTTTTGCATTCAACGAGGATATTTTGAGCTATGATATTCTGCTCCGTTGATTTGTTTCTTTTGGCCATTGAAAATGTGAAAGATATGTCTTTGAAGTTAATTTCACTTTTGGTCCTATAATTATTGAGGTCTTGTTAATTTCAATCCATGACTTTTAAAACTGTCAATTTAGTATCTTAACTATTCAATTTTTATCAATTTTGGTCACTCTGATCAAATTGCCCTGCAAAACTCACTGAAAAATATTAATAGGTAAAATAAATCGGGTATTTTAGCCTTTTTACTTATCTTTTCTGTCTTCTTTAAAATACTCTCATTATTTACGTTCTTTATCGGGTTTAGTAATTCGGGCTACCCATGGACGGAGCCAAAGGGGGGTAGGGGCAGCTCCCCCCCCCACCCCACCCCTACCCCATATATAATCTTTGTATGTATATATGTATATATAGTACAAGTTTTATTATTACTATAAAAATACTATTAAATAAAAGAGTTAATATCGTTTGAGGTCCTCCGAGTATAGGGGTTTTGCCACGTTTAGTCCTAAACTTTCAAATTGACCATCTGTGGTCCTTCGACTTTCAAATTTAACCATTTGTGGTCCAAGTTAACCACTCATGGTCCTTCGAGTTTCAAAACTTAACCAGTTGTGATCCTCTTGAAAGGACCATGGTTGGTTAAATTTTAATAATTGAAGGACCATGAGTGGTTAACTTGGACCACAAATGATTAAATTTGAAAGTCGAAGGACCATATATGGTCAATTTGAAAGTTTAGGACTAAATATGGCAAAACCACTATACTCGGAGGACCTCGGATGATATTACCTCTAATAATAAATGAGTTAGATTAGTTGGTAGAACACATGTTTGGAAATAGTAAAGGTCAAGGGTTTGAATCCTTTTGCATCAACATAGTTTTACAGTTCACACACACACATCTATACTATATATAAAAACAAAATCCTGAACTTTAACTTCCTGCCCAATTGCTTAAAAATCTCTCTTTCTAATAAAAATATATTGTTTTGTACTTTCATATTCGTACTATAATTATAAGTTAAAATGCTTATTCTAATATTATAAAATAGTGTAATACAATTCCTATTCTAACCTATACTATATATAAAAACAAAATCTTAAACTTTAACTTCCCGCCCAATTCCTAAAAAAATCCTCTTTCTAACAGAGAGTGCTTTAGAGAGAGGGAGAGTGGAGAGGACAGAACCCCCTAAAAAGGAGGGTCAATGGCCCTTATATAGGCTCACGGATTGACCCGCTATCTTTGACTTTGACCCGTAGACCAGGACTAGAACCGTTTGACCCCGACCCGACTATAAAATGAGAACACGGAGTGTACGGAGAGCTTGAACCCGGGGTATATTCCCCATCAAGAAGCCCCCTCAGTCTGTGCCCTGACGATGAGTGAATGAGGAAGGGTTCGGGCTGGAAAAGCTGACTACACGGTCTGCGACCTACGCTGGTTGCCTCGTTAAAAACCTTAAGCTAATAAAAAACCAGTGGGAAAAAGTTTTAGCCAAGGGAAAAAGAGCACAATGCTAAACGCAG